TTGTTTTCCATGTTTGTTTATTTCCAAAGTTATAGCAGAGCTGCAGGCTCTAGTTTTTTAAAAATGCTCCTGTCAGAAGCAATCTTAAATGGAAACTAGCATGCTAATTTCCTGCTAACATAAATCCTCTTTTTCAGGAAGACCTGGGAGAACAACCACCTTGGTCATGTTATTGGAGCTGAAAGATTTTGAACCATTTTGGCTTGTAGACGTTCCAGTCTTGTTGGGTTGCCTAGGTAACCCTATAGTATTTACTTCCAGGTCGTTTGTCAATCAGCGGTATCCTTTGCTGTCATTGGTAGCCACTTCAATTGCTCTCCTTAAGTTAAGAGAGAAGCTGATCTTGCGACCCATTCACTTTGTGCCACCAGCAGTTATTTCGCCTGTAGTGACTTGAAATGACCTCTGGTCTCTGATCACCGCATCGCTGCCAATGCGGACACAGCCTCAGTTTTCAAATCTAGCCGCTGTCAATTGCTGACACTAAGCTACCCCATCCAAGGCAGATCCTGAACTACCAGACAGTTTGAGTGCTTTTTTTTTTAACGTAGCTATTCCTAACCTCTCACCACTATTCAAAGAGGAATGGTACCTTTTAAACTGGAGAAAAACAAAACAGTAGGCCCGCACATCTAACCCCCCACTAAGCCACTGCTCATAACAACTGAGTCCAGTCTTCATGGACATCTATATTGCTTCACTCAACCCAACAAGATACCTGCTTGCCTCAAAAAATCCAAACCTATTTCGAACTCAAGAAGAATATCTAACATTAAAGCCTACAGGCTTGTGGCCCTGACATCGCTGGCAATGAAGACATCTGAGCACAAATTGGTGGCACACATTAAATTAGTCACAGCCCCCCTGATGGATTCGCTACAGTTTGCATACTGTCTAAACCAGCCTACAGATAATGCAGTCAACCTGCACCTCACCTTATCTGGAAACCGAATATAATAACATAAGAATTTGACTTGGTAATTTCAGTTCTGCTTTTAAAACTACAAACCCTGTAAAGCTTTTCAGGAAACACATCAGCACATCACTTTTCCTTTGAGTCCTTGATTTTTCTTTTTAAAGGGGTCAAGTTGTAAGATTAGGCTGAGTCCTTTTTACCTCTTCTCCCTCTTCACTATTGACTTTATATCAACAGCAAACTCTTTCAGGACTTTAAAATATGTGGACTAATCTCAAAAGATAGAAGAGGAAACACAGGTTGGAAGTGGAGAAGTCACTGAAATGGTGCGGGAGAAATGAATGAAAATAATGACATGGGTTATCAAACATAACCTGGAAAATTGCTAAATGATGTTCCCCACTAAATTGTTTCTTTCTTATTCTAGTGCCATTACCAGTTTTTGTAGGTAAATTAAAATTTATAAATTTTAATTTCAGATAAAAAACAAAAAATCATATTTCATTCTAGGGGAAGTGTGCCCTTAGTCACTGGCTGTATTATAAAGTGCTGCCAATTCTACACTACTAGCTTTGTGACATAATGTTGATAGTCGTAAGGTCATTAGTCAGGCATGCTTTGCAGTTTAGATTGGAACAGATAAGCACAAGGTTGAAACCACGTTGGCTTCCATACTTTAGAGAAGGCTACAAAAAGACAACAGTCACCAGACACTTTACATATTGATTATAGTTGGTATCTGACCACTGTCCACGATTCTGCTGTGTCTGATAGTTAATGGTTGTCCAACCACCATTGGACAGTCTCTGCCCAAGGGATTAGTTTCACAAACATTCCATGGCTCGCCACCATCCACCATGCACAGAAATCCTGATTCATTGCGTTGTAACATGTCTTTGAGCAGGTTCCTTTGAAACAATGTTGTCAGCAGGAATACTGAGGTTCAATAAATGTTTAAAAATGTATGATTTCTATACATTAATGTAGCTACAGTGGAGCCACGGTAAATGTTTTATTTTGTGCAACCAAGTGTATAACTATGGAAAGACTCAACCATCATTGCTATTAATTCCCAATCACTAAAACATTATGCTCTGATTAAGGAATAATAATCTGGAAGAAAACTTCAAGGGGATTATGGATTTTGACGATGATGTGTTAATGCCTACCGTCTGTATAGTCAGAAATGATATGATGAAAAGATATAACTGCAATGCATATTTTTCAGGCGATATCCATGACCGAAAACGGCAGCAGTCATTTGTCTGTCTTAGTATGATTAGCGTTTCTTTAGCGACATATAAGATGTTACAGACCAACATCATATCGCCAAAATCTCCCAGTAACTATAGGTTGACAAGTTTAAGGCTGAAATACATACAAAGTGATTATATTAATTACAGCAATAACAATATATACACATGTAATACTGATGAAGTAAATAACTTTCATCCAGCACTTACATGTGGGACATGGTACAGTATGTCACAAAGACAGAGAAGGTAATTGCTGAGTAATTTTATGCAGCTGCAACCTTTATGCGCTGCCTGACTCTTCTGCAGAATGTAATGTTTGGCTCTTTACGTAATCACTTAACTGTTTCTTATACTGAGCAGGCTGTCTCCAACAACTCCAAAAACCTGGCACCCAAGAGCAGTAGTAATTTTACCTGACACTGCTCTTTAGCTGACCCTGGTCTTTGACCTGCCTGGAAAGGCACAAGCAAAAAGATTATTCTGTCCGCGGGGATCAATAGAGTATCACAAAAAGCTTACATTGTATTCTTCTCTACCTTGGTGTTTTAGTTGAAGCGAGAAACTGAGAAAAAGGTGATCTCTTATATGCTATTTTAGTCATTTAGAGGATAAAATCCTAAAATGCCACAAATGTAGCAAATGATATACAGCATGCAGGTCTTTAAAATGTCTTTCCATACCCCACAAGAGCAACTCCACATGAACACAAACACCTCTTGTGCCTCAGGGGTTTATGACTTGATGTAGTGTTGTTTCTTTTTCAAAAGACGCTCCATTTATATTGCATATATTGAAAACTTTCTCAGCCTCTTTGTCCATAATACTATGACGCATTTGTCACAGTTTGCAGGGGTACAGCACTACAAGATCCATTAGTGGGATGAGCTGCTATATGTACTGTTGCACTGTTGTAACTACAAAAGACAGACATGCATTTGTGTGCACACTGGTTTGAGAGTCTCTCATCGTTCACATGTGAGGTAGACACGACTCCATTTGTACATAAATTTGTGGACAGTTGGCCACGAACATGTGCGCGTCAGTCTGTTTTATCTGCGTGCTATGGCACCGCGGCTTACATGATTTAGCTAGTAATTAGAGAATAGAGACGTATCCAATTATTGGGGTTATGAAATATCACCCTGTCTCAGTAGTTATTCCAGTACTGTCTGCACCCTGCCATATTATTACGCCAGCTGCATATATGATTAGTTGTGTGCATGTGTGTGTAAAAGAGAGAGGAAGAAGATAGTGAACGAAAAAGAGTAAAGTATATGAGTCTATCCAGAAGAGGCGGTGTCGACAAAGGAAACTCATTTATGCTCAATGTAAATTATAGGTGGCAGGACCACATGCTTGTAGGAACCGCAGCCAAAGCCGTTGCACACAGTCCCATGACACCTTATGTGTGTGTGTGTGTGTGTGTTTTGGTGGTGGTGGTGGTGGTGGGGGTGCAGCATACTTGAAACGTAGCAGCTATGTTTTAGCTACTGCATTTCTCTAACTCTCTAGTACATAAAAACACACAAAGGAATACATAGTGTGCATCATGAATTGCACCACTCTGCTTGCAGCTTCACTGCAGGCGATCCATCAGATGCATACACTCTTGCTCTCACATGGCAGGCTAGATACACAGGAGGAAATACATGTGTGACTGTGTGTGCCTGCCCTTTATTTGTGTGGGTGAGAGTGTGTAAATATGTACAATCATATCTCACTTAGTGAAAAAGCCTCCACTCGCTCTGCCTGTCACCAGCGGAAACAAAGACCAAGGACCGTTCAATATTAGCAACTGGAGAGCTGCTATCTCCAGCCATCTGGGAGAAGAAAAAGAAAGCTACTCTATGGATCTCTCCAGATGCTACCACAAAGCAGATTTCCAAAGCAGAGGTATACAGAGAAAACATTACCTCCATCGAGAGGGTTTGATATAAATGGCAAGATGGCTATCTGCTCTGGGTGGTGATGATGAAAAGGGAGACATCACCGCAGACTGGAGATGGCACAAGTGCACGCACATTTATTTTGCATGCACAATATGCAAGTATACAATATATTATGCAGAAAGTGAGCCGGGTTGAAATTTGATATGGTTTTCATTTTAGACATATTTTGTTCCTAGACGCAACATCAGTGCAAAGTGAAATATTGTAGACCTTGTATTAATGTCTCTGTAGGCTCCTTTGTTTTCTTCTTGCCTTGCACACACACACTCGCACACACCTGCCTCCAGCCCCTCCCTTAATGGTCTCTACCAGGCACACACTGACAGATATGAGAGTACAAGTGATGCAGTGTAGTGAAGCAGGTGAGGCATGCGGAAATAATTTACAAGATGCTCATGGGAACTGGAGGATGGGACCTACTCCTGTGACATTTGTCACGTCCTGCAGTAACTGTATGGATATGATAAGGATGCAGTTTGAGGAGTATTTTTTTGAGATAGCAGAACTGTTTATAGAGCACAGGAATCTGAACTTTTCTCATATATTCCTCATGAGGCATGCGAGTTGTTATCGCAGGTGACTGCTGTCTTGAACTTATACGCGGACTCCGCTGATCATGTAGAGAATTCCTCAGCTCTCTGACAACAAAAACCATGCCACGGTAACAGTCGCCTATCGCCGCCAGCCGCCCTAAGCGCCCCTAATTGGATCATCTGATTGACTGGCATACTCCTCGGCATTTTTCATTGGCAGGGCGGTAATGGAGCCCTGACTGTGCTCCAGTAAAACAACCTAAAGGCGGAGCGCGGAGGGAGAGGCGGAGCTCTCCTTGGTACTTAAACGGAGGTGGCTCTGGTAGAAGTGAAGCACGAGCTCACGACAGCCGGACCGCACAGTGAGCGGTGCGAAGAGTAAGGAATAAGAGTGAGAAGAAAGGGAAAAGGAACAAAAAGAAAGAAGGAGAGCAGGGGACTGCGCGGCCCTCTGTACTAATGGACCACAAGGATATTTAACCGCTTGCCCTGGGAGCGCACAGGTATCCTCTTCCCTCACTGTCTCTTGCCATGCGCTATGCGTAAAGGCACCAGGTTGCCTTTTATTTACAGCAGTTTCTCTCATCCGTTTCAGCTGCCGTTCTTGTTCCGTTTTTCTTCTTTTTGTTTGCACGTGAATCACCTCAGCTTTTATACATTGTGCTCTAATTAGTGGCTGACTCATATGTGCGAAGAGGGCAAGGGGCAGTAAATCATCAGTGCACTATTTCGAGTTTTCCTGTCTCTCTGTATAGTGCTGAGAACTGTTGAGGGCTTTCTTCCACTTCTCTCCAGTACCGAGCAAAATCATCCACATGTAGCAAAGCGTTTGTGAACAACGCGTCTTGTTGTGTGAACGTTTAACACGTTTGTTTGATGCCGTATTTTACAGCTTATGACACCCGCTCTCATTCCCGTGCTCTCTCCCTGTCCCCTCAGACACCGCAGTCCATGCCTCTCCCTTGCCAGGTCATTGATGGGAAATCAACTGGATCGGATCACCCACCTCAACTACAGCGAACTGCCCACGGGGGATCCGTCCGGGCTGGAGAAGGACGAGCTTCGAGTCGGCGTCGCCTACTTCTTCTCTGACGAAGAGGAGGAGGTGGACGACCGCACTCCGTCTGACTGCGGATTCACCAAGGACCACAGCCCGACCGAGGAGGGACCCTTATCGGTCAGCGAGGTGGAGTACTCGGCTTTCTGCTCCCAGGAATGCATCTTCTCCAAGCTGCGGGAGAACGAGGACTTGAATGTGTACTCGGCCAAAACTTTGCTGACTATGTGCAAACCGGGGGACCTGCTGGAGCTGGTGGCCACCGCGCAAGCCCCCCACTGGGTCATCTTCGAGCAGGACGACCAAATCATTCATCTGCACAAGGGCGAAATCCGCAAAGACAGCCTGCTTGAGATCAGCAACGGCCGCCACGGGAGAATAGTCAATAATCGTTACCGCTATCGGCCGCTACCCCCTGACCTAGTGATGCAGAACGCAGCGGGACACGTGGGCCTGAACAGCGAGGAGATATGCTGGACCAACTCGGAAAGTTTCGCTGCCTGGTGCCGCTTTGGGAAACGGGAGTTCAAAGCCGGGGGAGAAGCGCACTCAGCGGAGCAGCAGTACTTCCTCAAAGTGCATCTGTCCGGCAGCGAGGTGCACACTCTGGTCTTTCGCAGCCTGGAGGACATGATCCGGGAGAGAAGGCGAGTAGACGCCAGTGGAATTCTCAAAGAGCTCTCTCTGGTTAACGGGGGCAAGGAGTGATCAGGGATTCCGTTTGATATCGTCTCCTCCACCCGCCCTCCCTGCCTCCTCTTTGCCAAAGCGCACGGACGCACACTTTTGCGCACACAATAACGTACTGGCACACAAGCACACGGACGCACACGTGCAAGGACCTGTTGGTGTTGGACTGTCTGTTTGTCACGGATGGGGCCTGGGTTTTATTTCTTTTCTTTTTTTTTCTGGACCAAAGGCGCCCTGTGGAATTTCCATCAAAATACAGTGTTGAGAGAAAAGAGAGCGCGGCCATATAAACAGACAACGCCCATTCTGGTTAGAATTCGTGCTGAGTGGGACACACGATTTCTAAGAAACTCATTGTTCCCGATAAGCGAAATCACCTTTACAACCCCTCCCCACATTGCGCACACGGCTCGGTTTGGTTTCTGTTTAATTTCTCGGGATAATGGAATTGGCCCCTTCTGTATATAGGGTGCCTGCTGCAGCAGACCAGACGGTGAGACCGGCAGAAGGAGAGGGAGGGAGGGAGGGGTTGAAAGATAGGATTTGGGATGGCTCTCGAGAAGTCTCCCTTCTATTTTTTTACTGTTAGCTTTAAAACCTGGACAAACAACGACATAGATTCAAGCCACAAATTCACAGACAGTCCTAGCTGATTACGCAGTTGCCTAAACAAAACATTTTGGCTTGACCAAGCTCCCCTGTTGCCATATCAAAAGTATTGTCATTTTCACAATGCTGTCATCCTGCTCCACAGCACTGGATGTATGTGTAAATTGTGTTCATATACTGATTTCGATTTGAGTCCCTTATTTTTGTATTTCAGTTTAGTGGATTTAACCCTGATCTCTCTTTTTTTTTTTTTTTTTTTTTGATTCAAATAAATGGAGGTTGAAATTTGAAAATAAGAACTTGGTCTATCAGGTGTTGTTTGGTCGCCCATAAACACACATGTACCATCTCACATTCTCAGATGCACACATTTACACACTCATGCACACACACTTTTGAATTATTGATGTTCTAGTGCCTTCTGACCTGCCTCCGGCCAAATAAGCATCATATATCTCCACATCATTTGGAGGTAGAAAATGGTCATTTGCATCAGACACATAAAGGCTTTATGAAAAATCCATATAGAATCTGAGAGTTACAGTATAGGCAGCTGCTTTAAGTCAATGGGGGAAAAACTTTTTGCTTATGTCCACAGGCTATATTCATTTGTGTGGGTTTTATTCTGTTGCTTTTCAGTCTTTTCTAAACATTTTGATCTCTCTGACGTTTTACCAGCCATACAGCCACATAAGTAAAGTTATGCTGGCATTGTAGGACATAGTTTCTATCTGCATTGTAAACAAGATGTCCTCCATACAGTATAATAGTATAATTCTTATCAGGATGGAGCACACTGTGTGCTTTTATGGCACCGATGTTGTATTAGTCTGCAATGCCTTTATCTCTGCAGTGTTGTTATTACTCCTCTGCTATGAGTGTCAGACAGTGCCTTTATTTTCTTGGGATTGTGATCTGATGTATCACTGAAGGTGGGATAAATCAAGTCTCAAAAAAAACAAAATCAAAAAAGCAACAACATCTTGCATGAAACACCAGAGAGTAGGTTTGTGGAAAGGTTTTTCTGTGTGGTGTTCCTTTGTTAAGTCTCCTCCACTTGATTCTGTTCTAATTGCATGTATAAATGAGCAGCTAAGCTCTCCCTTAGGTATTAATGATTTTATCTATGATTTTTTTTTTTTTTAATTTCAACGTGGTCGTGAAAACAGGAGCTGCAGTTGTTTTAGCGGAAGCCAACTGAGGGGAAAGGCAGACAAAGAGTTTGTGTGCGACAGAGAGAGAGAGCATGTATGCAGGGTTACCCAGGATGTGTGTGTGTGTGTGTGTAATGTTTTAACTGCTTTAACTGATTGTTGTGGAGACATTCCCAATCAAAAAATGTCTCATGTCCACCCTGTACGTGTGTGTGCAGATGTTGCATTGTCAGCCTGCAGATGAATTCATGTCACAGGATAAACTAATGAGCTTTTGGGCCTTGTAAATGTTGCCTTTGGAAGATTTTCTCTAGCTATTGTCCTAAATATGTGATTGTACCAGCTTTCCTGTGATTCTATTGGCACATTTCTCTCACGCGTCCTCTTGTTTTCCTCTAAATCCATTTACTCGTCACTTGTCAGCACCTCCCCATAATTGCTTTGCATTGTACTCCTTGCAGACCAAATTAACGGACCAATCTGTGTGAAAAATGAGCTGAAATTGAAATCAGCACGTTTACAAAATTATTCAAAGTAAAAAAAACAACAAAAGGCAAACATGTTCTCCCTGTTAACGATCATGAAATCCAGATGGATCCAGATAAACTCTTTTTACTGTTGTTTTATGTTTTTGCTTTCTTCTGTGTTCTGGCTGTTTAGTATGTTTTTGAACAGACTCTGTGGTAAACTGAGCTTGCCTCAGGTGGGTGATTATGTGTGCGCATGTATGTGTGAGTGTGTCAGCCATCCCCCCGTGAGCTTGAAAAATCAGGGTAGTGGGGCAGCCACTGTTAGAGTGTGTGTTTGTGGTCTGTGACTAATAGGCCTCAGAGAAAGATTCACAAGTGTGCGTGTGTGCGCGCGCGCGCACGCACACATGTGCATTTTAGGCAGACATTGCACCACATTGTTAGCTCGAGGAGAGGCTTTTGCCATCTGACATCACGCTGTGTTTGTGTGCATTAGTTTCTGCTCTTTATATAGTCTACCACATATGTGAAAGTGTGAAACCCAACTGCCTGAAGTGTGTTCCAGCTTGCGTGTGCAGATGTCACTGTGTGTGGTGTGTGTGTGTCAGTATGTCAGACGTGTTGTCTGCATGTATAGCAACAGTGAGCTGCATCTTCTATCCATCAGTGAAGGTAAACCCCTTCTCACTATGGAAACCATGGACACTGTTTTGATGTGTATCCGCTGAGGTGTTTTGTGTGCTTGCATTTTTATGTGACTGTGCAAACCCTCTAAGGCTCAAAGCTAACTGTTAGCTTTAATAGCAAGTCATGTAAGACAAACATAACAAACAAATCTATCTCTTCTTTTCTCTGTCTATTTTCATCTCTCTCTCTCTCGCTCTCTCTCACACACACACACACACACACACACACACACACACATACACACTTAAACCGACTCACTAGAGACCATCAATTGTTCCTGGCATGGATGTCTTCAATTCACACAGGGGTTTGTCGTCAGTGTGTGTGCATCTGGACAAAGCAGATCCCAGCTAGCCTGCTGCCAGCTAAATCAGTGGTCTCAGAGGAGATGTTCTGGGAGGAGGGAACACGACAGAATATCCTGTCTGCATGATGCCTTTAAGAGGATCTCCCTCTAATCTAGATACTGGTCTGGACTCCCAGTAGATTTGAATATCTTTTTTCTTTTTTTCCCTCCTCCTGCCACCGTTCTTTATGGGCACCATACGGAACAACAACACAGCTGGCGGTGTAGATGAGGCAGTGGCAAATGGTTTACACGCTGTTAAAATGTTGGTAACAGTGGTTTCCTGTTAACATCTGCTGTAAAATTGTTTTGCTTTTTACATATTATATGCATCATTACTATAGCTCCTACACCTACATGTTGACATTTAAACCTGATGCATTTGTAATTGGAATTACAGACTAAACCTGCTTATCGGTGTCCTCAAAGTGCTTCATTATGGGGCCGATTGATTAAACCTACGACAGGTTTGTATATGAACGATGCTTCTTTAAAACCCAGTGTCCGCATCTTGCATTATTGGCAGCTAAATCCATGCATCCATATAGTTTAAAGGATAAATCTGGTTTCCTGCTTTTTTTCCTTCTTGTCAACAAATGTTATGAAATAAAAATACCAACAATGACTTTATCCTGCAGAGAAATACAGCCTGTTTAGTCGAAGCTTATCATAGCTTATTCTGTGTATGGTGCAGAATATAAAAACAACATGAGTGAACCACAGTGTTACATTTAAGTGTTTCTTTATTATGATGAGGATGGGCACTGATATTTGCATTCCCACTGCACTAAATTCATGGTTCAACATCATCGCCAACAAATTCACTGTTTGGGTCTCTCCCTACTGTTTGCTGTTTCAGAAAACTCTGTAACCCTTTCTCAAATACAAAAGTATAACAAAACAAAGAACTGTTGCGCTTGTTGCAAAAGCACTATGAGCCACGTCTTTGGAGACTTTTACGCTGTGGGAAATGAGCTTTTTTGGCATTCTGCCCCCTCGCCTCAGCGTGAACTTTGTGGGTAAATCGGTTCATTAGATGCCTACAGTCACTAGAAATCACAAAAGCACTACAGGTTTCTAATCAGTCACTTTTGCAATTAACAAATGAGCTAACCTTTTATTGAAGGAAATTACCTCTACAGGTAAATAATAATAAAAAAAAAAAACAGAAAAGGAATAAATGTAAGAACAAGTGGCCAGCATGTATTGAAATAAAAGAGAATAGTACAAGTAAAATACACTTACATTTATTAACAGGAGAAACAGAGAAGTACTTAATCTTCTTGTGTGTTTGTGTTATTCAGTGTGAGAGCCCAGTGTTTCTCGTCCTAACAAAAGAAGGCTTGAAGGAAAAGGAGGAACCACTGCTCTCATTCAGAGTTTGTGTGAACAAAGAGCAAACCAGTAATCCCCTGCTAAAATCATAAAAGCTTGCCGCACCTCTAAACAAGTTCTTCCGCTGAAGGAGACTTGTATGGAAACACTACCTGTGCCCCGCCTAGGTTACGTACAACAGGTGGGCCAACTGACATGCAAATAAACACTTCTGTTTAAACACGATCCTTTGTCTGCACTACAACACCACTGAGTAAACGCTGTTGTCAGTTAATGTCAGTTTTTCCTAGTCAAATTTAATATGACTGTTTGAAATGTGCCAAGGTCATCTGGAAAGGTTCTTTGTTTCAACGAGAAAGGAATGCAATGTTTGGCTTAGAGAATGTGATGATTTGCTCCTTACATTTCTTCATTTAATGGCCTATTGGGGCAAAAATATTCAGATCCTGTACAACATTTAAAAAAATACTCCATTACATGCAAAATCTTAGAAACATTACCCTAAAACACTACAAAAGCGTTTATTTCTTCTTCTTCTTCTTCTTTTACTACTACTACTACTATCTGACTTCCACTTGCTAAAAGATGCTTAATGAATTAACTGGTGATTGGTTATTGAATTGGATAAGTGGTTAATAACATGTACTATTTTTTCTTTTTTTTTTGCTTTCCAATACTCTTGTTGTTTAATCTATAGCAACGTATTATTTTTTATAAGATGATTATGTTCATGTATGAGTATCTTAGATAATGTTTAATCTAGTGCTCATTAAGGCTACGTTCACACTGCA